TGTCTCTAGAATATTGTTGATATCTTTCTATTTTTAAATCATTATTTTACAGTTTACTGAAATTGAAATAAACACAACTAGGGGGCCATCCATGAAAGGTGGGAAGTTTAAGTGAACATGATGACACTTGCTACCAGGGGAATGGGGAGACGATAACTGGACATCTCTTTCATAAGTTTCCTGTGTATTTTAATGTTGTTGTTTTTTGTTTACCTGTTTTTAATAAATTAACACTAGATTCGTGATTTAACAACTGCCAGATTGGTGATAAATCAGGAGTATGTATCATCCAGAACGTTTTCAAACAACATATAACACGATAGCTGTGGATTAGGACTTTAATGTTACAAAGACGAAGCGTCAGTTACTTTTTACACTTTAGAATTATTCAACATTCTTTGATGTTTTATTTTACATTTTCTGAACAGCGGTCGATAGCCTTTTTCTGGGCTACTTCCTCTTTTACAGCATAGAAACAGCACACGACGATCCTATGCTTCCTGTTACTTGCAACTGCAAAGCAAAAAGGATTTTCATGTGTAATAAGTGCAGTCGGTATGATTATGACCATGATTGGGTATCTTCTGAAAGTTCTCAAGAAAAAGCAGGAAAAATAACCCATACAAAAATATAAGTAAAAAATAAATATAGCTTCTGCTTTTTCGAAAGCACAAGTTTCTGTTGTTTTTGTATCTCGAAGGTGGTGAATCAGATATTAGTGAAGCAGATCCATTGTTCACTTTGCTGAAACATTCTGTAAAGGTCATCTTGTGTATTTTATCAGTTACTCATTTTTATTCCTATACTTTACACTGTTGATTGCAATGAAATACCTAAGTTTGCAGCCAAGTCACCGAAAATAACAGTCGAATGTTAAAAATAGGTTGACTTTGAAAACCAGTTTGGAAGTCCAATCAGTCAGTTTCAGATTTTGTGTCTGTTTTGGACTCTTGAGACAATGTCACCACATTTTTGAGAATATGGCCTAGTTAAGTTAGTTAAAAATAATAATTATTATTATGGTTAAAAGGTTTTTTTTAAGACCAAGTACTTTAGCTGACATCAAAGAGAAATGAGTCCTAAAAAATGTTCAGATTTTGAAAAAGTTTCTAAAAAAAGAACTGGGAGGAAGGTATCAGCTTAATGTAAAATCATTTTGTGGGGGAAAGAGATCACAAACTTGATGACATGAGGGGAAAGAAATGAAGGTGGAAAAGTTATCTGAGCAGCCCTTAATACTATAACAAACTTCAGGTTAGCGGTTCAGAGAAAATATTTGAATCTGTGAGGCTACAAACCATGTGCTCGTATAATGAGGAAACAAGAAATATAACTTGTATTTAATGTCCTTTTAATTTGTGTAGTTAACTTACAGAGCTTTGACTTTATTACACATATTAAACATAGCATAATTTTAGACACATTTCCTTCATTTTCAAAATGCTTTGGAGTATATGTATCAACATACCACATTCTATACACGTTTTGGAGTTCATATGAAAATTATCTGCAACAAGAATTATTCTTGTGTGAAGTTGTTAGCAATCATCATATTTTTATATAAACCAACTCTAGGGACATCTCTGTTTATCATTACATTTTAATGGTGCTTAAATAACTGATAAAAATTATCTTTGTGTGTTTTTTTTACAATATTTCACAACAAAATTCATATAAAACTCTTAAAAGTTTTGAAAAAATATATATATACAAGACAAACAAGTACAAAGACATTGTGTAGAATAAACTAAGTTTAGAGAATATTAAAGAGAAAAATTATACAAGCTCGCATCTTGATGACATGAGCTTGTCACATAATATGAAAAATCTTACAGTATGAATTTTTGGAACAAATAAATTTGAGACAAAATTACTGTGTAACTAAAATTGAAAGTATTAAAACTGCAAATCTCTTTATTGCAATCCTTAGTAGTAATTTGATGATTATTTTAAAAATCAAATCACAAAACAAGAATAACAGTTTGATAAGTGAGTGTGTGTGTGTGTGTGTGTGTGTGTGTGTGTGTGTGCATGTACATACATACACACAAATTAAGTCCAGCCACAAAGAATAAAACATCAATATGTTTGTCTCTTATTATAAGGTACAAAATTACATCAGCAGCTGTAATAGTCTTAAGTATTCACTTCGTCCAGCTGACTTTAGGGATGTCATAGTGTTCAGTGAGTGAATCTAGATGTCTGTTGAATTCCTGCAAAGATAATTAAAAAAATAAAATAAAGGACATCAAGACCTTATTTCTATAAATACAGGTAAAAATATCATATTTCATTTAAGGTTTAAGTAGCTACAATAAGATATTCTTAATAATTATAATTTAATAGGATTATCTACTCATAATTTTCTTGTGATTTTTCTTCTGTAAAACAAAACTGAAAAATTGTGAGGCATTTCAATATTAGTAGTTAAAAGAAATCAGATTTCTATACTTTCCCACATCAATGAGATCTATAAAATGTAGGAATTTTGGAGAAAAAAAATTATTGGGGGGGGGAGACACAGATTGAGGTGAAAAAGTGACTTGAGAAGTGTCACATAATAAATAGACAGCTCCTAATATTATAAGGTTACACTACACTTCAAGTTAGAAGTTCAGGAAAAATATTAGGAGGAGGACTTCCACCTTAGGATGTTACAATCTGTTACCATTAAGCTAATAAAACCAACTTTTAATCAGACACATCATATGATCAGTCTATTTTGTCTGTGCACAAATTTTTTTCAAATATCCCAATACTACTAAATATTTATTACCTTCAAAATAAAAAACAAGGTATGTATTAAGGATGGTCCTTATTTGCACGTAAAAATTTCAGGTTAAAAATTCTAAAGTTCTCAACTCCTAATTTTGTTCCAATATGAAAAAAAAACACTGAATGTCAAACTTTGTTCATTTTGGACCATATTTAGAGGTTTCTCAATGATGTTGAAGTTCTAGACTGCAATGGCATGGTACCACTATGTACTATATGACATAAAGACATTTGTATATTAACAGTATATTTACATAATTATATGATTTTGATGTGGTTAGTTACTTCTGCATTGCTATTGTTTCCTCTTTGCTGTTAGAAAAATGTCTTCCATGATCCTGCACAACCTGAAAGAGGAATGATTTGTTCTTCTTTGTTACAATGGTACTACTCCTCAATAAAGGCCACACCTCTTTCAGCATTGTAGTTTACCACATTCATCTGTTAAACTGTCTGTAGTGCCTTCCTATAGGCCTCTCTGAGTTTCCATGACTTGAGGTAAAATCCAGAAATCCAGATGTAATTTCAAGACACCTGAAGAAGTCTGTTGTGTTCTTTGTGATGAAACCTTCAGTTGGCATGTCCTCATATTCCCGCATACTCATCTGGATATACTTGGGAGGTTCATCTATGCCTTTCTTCTCATTTAGTGTCTTTACCATTGCTCATTTTGTCTCTGTGGATGAACCAAAGAATACCAACTCACTGAAATACCACAGATGTCCAGCAAATTTCTGACAGGCAGGTTTTGAAAGAGTAGAATTCATCTACTTATACTAAACAAGACATTGTAGGAGGTTAAGATCATTGCAAGAAGCAGAAATGTCATCAGGAGCAGTGAACCATGCCTTGAGATAGACTCAAACAACAAAAACTAGATGTAATGGAGCCCTCTTTTCTAATGATCAGTGAGCTTAAACTGTCCCATAAATTTCCAGAATTTGAGGGCATATAATGCCACCAAGTAAGGTTAAGGCTATTAATAATCATCTCTAGGTTGGCTCACCTAAAGTGGTCTTGTAGAAATTCTAGAAGCTACTGTCATATCATTCAGAATATTCCAGAAGTAAAAAGTGACAGCGTGGGTTATTTATATATGGAATGTCCATGAACATTCTAAATAATGTGAAATACTATGGAATATTCCAGAATGTGCTAGAATATTCCATTATAATATGCTAGAAATTCCTGAATAATCTAAAACCTTCCAGAATTATTCAGAGTATTCTGAAACATTCTAGAATATTCAGAACTTGCAAATATAATATGAGCTACAAGGCAAAATTTCAACTAGCTTAAGCAAGCCCTAGATGTTATTTAATATGGATAACATTAGGTAAGAATTATTTATCTATATATATTGAAACAAATGAAGGGAATAAGAGGGTTGTAAGTCAAAACTTCAAAAATAAGTACCACCCTAGTGTCTATACAGTACAGTGCTAATCCTAGTGTCTGTACAGTACAGTGCTAATCTTAGTGCCTGTATAGTACAGTGCTAACCCTAGTGCCTGTATAGTACAGTGCTAACCCTAGTGCCTGTATAGTACAGTGCTAACCCTAGTGCCTGTATAGTACAGTGCTAACCCTAATGCCTGTATAGTACAGTGCTAACCCTAATGCCTGTATAGTACAGTGCTAATCTTCTGAAAAGTTTATGTTGGTAAATTAGGAAGATATTTACATACACAATGTTGAAAATGGTCAAACAATTAATGCTATTTTTCAACACATGAGGAATCTTCATCATCAATAATATACAAAACTAGAAATTATGTCAAAATAATTTTAGAAAGTTTGTTAATCCAAATATTTCCAAACTTAAACACTCCTGAAGACCATTTTAAGCAGACATCTTTTACTCTTATAAACTTGTTGTTCCATAGCAGTGGATCTTAACTTTATTTTAGGTTAATGTTTTATGTTAATTCATCAACTGAAAACAACTTTTCAACTAACAAAGAGGCTTATAAAGTACTTTCACCTTTTCTATTAACCTGTCACTAGAAATTTTTGCATTCCTTGTCATCTGCCACCATTGATAAACTATGATGAAAGATGTCTTTGAATAACCAGTCAAAAAAAGTGATCTTTGATAATGATACCATCTGCTACATTAGCACTACTATACTTTACTTTAAAATGTTTTAGAGGTCCATAATCATTACCCATTGTCTTGTAGAATTAACCACAATATGACTACATCTGTACTGCTTGAGTCATCACCTGAGGCATCTGTTAGATACACATGACTGTTCATTTTAAGTTCAATACGAAAGTATTATTTAGTTTATATAGTGCAAGCATTAAAGTAAGTAATTTCTAGAAGCGACAGCCATGGCAAGTTTGCTTACATAACTGTTTAAGAATCTTTTGTTGTGTAATTCAACTGTTGTAAATTGGTGTCATGTTACTAGAACCTTCTGCATTTTTCTCATTGCTTTACATAAGTATTCTTGCATCATATATCTAGTAATGTGTAGAAAGTTCTAGGCTTCAGTTGGGCTATTTATAAATACACATAAAAAAAGCATAATAATTGCAGATTGTATTGTGATAACAGAGTAGAGAAGAATTCATCTTGTCAGTTGTGTTCTAAAGTAACTGAACCAGCCTATGTGGACTTTTGATGAAAAAGAGAGTTATTTAAAGCTCTAGATTCAACTGTGTAACAAAAATTTGTATATACGTTTGACTTGTTTTATCAATATATTATTTTAAAACAAGTGGACCATGTGCTGTTTGTTTATCTTTGAAATTTATCACCAAGTCACAGACACCTACTGTAAAGAATCCTGCTCAGGTATATATCCAGATACACATAAAAAACCTGAAAAAATCACATGATTAGTCTACTTTGCATATGCACATAAATGGAGTGTTCTAAAAACTTGTTTGTGGGTATCTTAATAAAGTGTATGCATTTATACACACATCCATACACAGACTCTAGTGTAACTTGCTTCTTTGTTTTCTCGAGCTAGGAAGCCCAGAAAAATTAAGCTTGGGTTTGAAGTTTGTTGGCCAGTGGTTCAAGCATAATCGTCACCAAATTACAACTATTATAAACAAGCCTATATATTGTGTATAACACTTATGACATAACTTTACAACTATTGAACTTTATGTTCTTTCTTTACATATTCACAATTAAAGATTAAGAGCTGTTTTTTTTTTACAAGAGATTTTATCCTAAAAAAGTAATTCTTCCTTCTTAAGTACTTTCATTCAATATATTTCATCATCCTAACAAGTAATTCTTCCTTCTTTAGTGCTTTCATTCAAGAGATTTCATCATCCTATCATGTAATTCTTCCTTCTTAAGTACTTTCATTGCAAGTTTTATTTTGTGGTTGGAACAGAACTATTGTGTTTACTTAAATGCCAGGACACACTCACAACTTAACACAAAATGGAAATTTTCCTATCAGACTCCTACAGTGTCAACATTTTTAAAGTGTAATCTATGTTTATGTAGATAGAAGTTCACATTTTGCAAGTATTACTGTTTTACCTCTAACCCATTCACTGCAGCTGAGATGTACATTTCTTAGTGCTCCCATCCCCTCACACTGAGACTGGGACAAATGTTTCCCATTGTTGATGCTGTTTACAACTTCCTCTGCTGGGTCTGGGTTCATCATCTTGACTATTATCACTAGATGGAGAGCTAGCATCCTCTTGTCTCATTGCTTCTTCATCTTCATGCATTTGAACACCACTTGACTCACTTTCACTGTCTTCTAACCTATTTGAGTCAAGTGCATTACCATACTTACATAGTAATTAGGGTTACTACTCACGACTCTAGCAATGCAGGCACAGTCAGCATGTAGTTGTCATACATTCCACTTAGGCATCTTGTTAGTTACTGAAAGACTGAGTGGAAAACACTGAGAAACCATATATCAATATTAGGTGGGATGACAATAAATACTTTCCAACTCATTTTACTCCCATACATCACGTGTGGCAATCTTGAATGACAAAACCGATGATGAACTAAATATACGAGTCAGACCCACTGCCCAGTCGCAGTGTGAGGGGATGGGAGAACTAGGAAATACATGTCCCAGCCACAGTGAAAGAGCTAACTAGTGACATCACACTAATACAAAACTAATCAGATTAACAGTAAGAGAACTACATGATTACATATTTACTATTAAATACATGTTAACCTATGCTCTTTCTAACTATAGATTTGTGGCTTCAATACAAAACAGTTGCTTACCTCAACCCTTTGCTTGTGTGATTTAGAGGCCTTCTCCAGAATACGTTCCATTTGCTAATAAACAGAGATCTTATTTAAAGAAAGCAAGATTTGCATGAGGGGTTAATGTATAAAGTTAAAAAATATTAGTATCTTTTAGAAGCTTAGAAATATACAAAGGTTTTGATACAAAACTAACAAGACGAAAATGTTAACTGATCTTCCATTATCAATTACAGTGATGTCCAGTACAAACAACTAATAATGTTACAACTTATCCAGAATTAAATGTTCAAAATTGGAGGAAAACAATTAAGTTAATCTACAACTATTGTAGTGTATTTATTTGATGTCAACCTTAAAAATTCCTAAAAAAGTCTTTAAAGAATTTATTTCAAAAGAGTAGAAAAACAAGCTACAAAGTTACCTTTTAAGTCTTGTTTTACAGCTAGATCAATGATAGAGAATGTTACACAAATGAGATTTTTATAAAGTTAGGTGTTGGACAGTTTGGTATAGTACCCAGCAGATCTTCATATGGGATTTATTATCCAATCTGAACCAAAAAGTTTCTCAAAAGTAATCAAAATAGGAGTGTTCAATCTTTCTAACATTTGAAACTGATGTACAGAACTGTTTGCTGTACATCTTATGTAGTCCTAGATTATTAACATATGTTTACCAAATAAAGTATTTGTAATCCATGTACATCCATTATCCTAAATCTATCATACTACTAAGTTACTATCAAAAGTTGCAAAAACATCATTTATAAATTAATTATACCATTTTTCAGCACCTATTGAAATTCTAAATTAATGAAACACAGGGTTAATAACTGATAAATACCCGTTTTTCTTGCATCTTTCGAAATGCTTTTTCAGCCTTTGTCAATTTAATCTGCTTCATAGTATTTTTTTCCTCATGTTCTGTGTTTGTGTTCATCTTTGATACTTGTTCCAATATCTTCCTGTCATGTTTCTCCTTTTTCTTCTTCTTCCTAAAAGAAAAATTAAATCATATAGTTAGCAGACCTTATCTAAAACCTACGAGTATTAGTATGTCATTGCACATAACAGTAACCAATGACTTAAACATTTCACTAAAGAGTTAGTTGATTAAGAAAATTGGTTAAATAGTTAAATTTATAGAATATATTGATTTTGTAACTTTTAATATTTGTTTAGTTTAATACATGGATTTAGGACTACTCAATCTCCTGAACTGGTTGAGCCTTGTGAGATGTTATTGAGATTATAACCCAAAATACCATTAACAATGAGGGTATCCAACTAATTAATCAAAGCATTCTAATCATTAAGTAAGAATGATATATTAGATTAGCTTAATTCACAATTGGATTAATATATTAGTTCTGATCCATATACATAACTTGTTTTGATCAGAAGCTAATGATAATTAATGGTTATAGGGTAGTTAGGCTACTGTTGCATATGATTTGTAACTACTTTTGAGCATTGATTAGTACCAAATGAAATAATTGCTCAATTGAAATTGTGATTAAAAACTGCCACTCCTGCACATGTCTACATGCATTGCATCAGCCTATGACATAATCTTCATAATGCTGTAGCTCTCTATCAATGGTAGGGTGATACAACCTTCATGTATAGTAAACCACATGAGCACTACCATATGATCATAGGCTCAGTCTTGATGATGCAAACAAAACGTACAGGAAGTGAAAAGGAAGAATGGAAGGTGGTACAGGTATCTATCTATCTGAAATACATTTTCAGGTAATGAAAATGTTAACTTCAGAAACAGTACTTACTACTTCAGAGATTGAAATATTACATTCCCGAGGAATTTAACTTTGCTTGAGGAATTAAATCTTTTTTAGTTGGCCTTACCGATTGGGAATGCATAGTCCATTTGTATTCCTCTAGTTATGACCAACAAAAGTGAACATATTTCATGGATTAAATAAAAAAAACAATTCATGAAGAAATGTAACTTTACATGAGGGAATGAATCTTCCTGATAGCTTTCCCTTGAGTGAACATAATTTTATTTCATTTTTTTCTATCCTTGTACTTCTCTGCACCACTAAGAACTAGAATCTCACATTGAAGGTGGAGGAGGGGCCAGTGCAGACCAGTTACAAAGATAAGCTCCTTTCTGAAATAATGACAGAAAAGGAAAAAAAACCATGAGGTGTTACTTCCATGAGACTGGGGCTCACACATAGCAGAGCAGTACCCAGTAGGAGACTGCACCCTTCTCAAGCAGTAATTACTCTTTGCCAAATTGTTTTTCTTTTGCCATAATACTGTGATAGGAGAACACAGCATATTATAAAAATCCAGTACTAGCAGTGATATGTTGTCTAGGTGGGTGGAACATTAGAATATGTAGTGTGGTTATAGATTTACAGGGTTCTGTCTTTGGGATTTGATAAAACAGCAATCCACTGCCAAATTCGTATTTTATTTATATATTTCATCGAGTAGAAGGAAGAAACATTGTGGTTATAGAAAAAAATAAAATGCAATCAGGTGGATGGAATGAAAATGCACCTAGGACAAAGGTAATGTAACACTAAATAAAGGAAGGCAGCTGATCAAAGTGATGCAAAACTCAAAAGGCACAAGATAAATCATAACTGAGCATAAGAAGTGCCAAGGAAAGAATAAGGCTATGTTCGTATGCTAGTACTGATGGAGATTACTGTGCATAGAAGTTGTCTCCTTCCTATTGGAGGAGGGCTACAAAAATTATGATGATTTTGCCATAGGCTTGTTGCATGTGCAACAAATTCCATGAGGTAATAACTCTCAACATTGCAGGAATAAGTAGTGTTTCTGAATTATTTTCCAATAATTAATGATTTGAATATTCCAATTATCCAAATAATCAAAGTATTGCCATTACGATTTCTCTTTATTTTTGTTTAATTTAAACGTGTTAAGCTTAATCAATTAGTGTCATCACAACTTACAAAAATAACCAACTAATTAAAATGAGTATTTCGTCATTATTACTATTTTTGATTATTCTAACTACCCGAGTAACTGAAATATTAGATATTACTACTTCAACTGGCATGGTTGTGCATGACAGTATGCACGTGTTTTGTTTGTACACAACATACAAATGCGAAGGTGTAGCCACTGGTTACAGAATTAGCCACAGTGATCCCTGTTGTTCATGTTTATCTAAGCAGTAGTGTAGCTTTAACTTAATATGATGCTTACTTATTATAAGCTATAAACATAATCAGTATTACTTAGATAAGATTGGTTTAATAAAACATTACAGCAAGTTCATATTCATTTCTCTTTATTCACTCAAAAAAAAGGTTGATTGTTGAATTACTTGCTCATTTAATAGTTTTTGTCAAAAAATTACTATACATGAAATGATAACAGTAACAATGTGTGATACCACTAATTTGTTAATCTATTTATATAATAGGGCTCCTGTTTAGTTAAATTAGTTCTAGCTATACAAGAAGCACTGAAAGGGAAAACAATGTTGTAATGTTCCAAATATACACTACCTACTACAATAAGCTTGAAGTTGTTTGATTTATTAATTTCTCAGGATGCACATATCTTTTACAGTTTCTTCAAACCTGTACTGTAAAATGTAAACATGTTAATCATTTTAATGTGATATTTCTAAAATTAAGTCCATATCAACAACTTCTCACTTAAAAGTGTTTTATTCTTAAATTTATTTTAATTTTTGGTACTGACAATGGAATTAGAAAAAAAATTCTGAAACATCCACTAATCTTTTCAAATAGGTTGTTTAGTGTCATCACAACTTTTCTTCCCAAATAGTAGGCAATGTGCTGTCTCTGTTTTTCAAGAATCAAAATGAATTTGTTTTCACTGAGTTATATATTATCTACTATATATACTATGAGCAATTTTGTTTTAGCAAATAGTTAACTTATTTTGATTTTGTTTTAGCAGCTTTGTGAAAATGTGTTGGGAGAAACCCATGGAACAGTATTAATTGTATTTTCATCTTTATACAAATTTCATACTTACTCCATTGCATATATGATACATTTTCATGTATAACAGTTTAGGATTTAAAAAGTAACTAAACCCTAAATTGTTTTACTTGAAGATGTCTATTATATTAGACAAAGTAGTTTGAAAATGTCTTTCAAAAACCTAAAACAAGTTGAAAATATAAAGATTAGTCTCATGTAAAAATAATCAATTAATGAGCCTGACAATTAATCAATTAGTAAATTCCACTAATTACCCAACTCCACTGTTGTAGATTTAGGCAGAAGCAGTTAAATATGAAGATTGATTCAATTTGATCTTTTTTCAAAAAAAGAATTAACATTTTCTACAACCTTACCACATTTCCAACCATACTCAAAGAATACCTTATTATGTATGTGAAAACTACAGTTTGTCAAACTTAATGAAATCTACAAGTGTACCTGTTGTCCTACAGCTTACTACTAAAAGATGAAAAAAAATTCTAAGCGGAAAAATAAGCTTCTTTATATCTGCTAAGTTCAAATAGCCAAGTCAGAACAGCTTAGTAGATTGTACTGTTGCCAGAACAAAAGTGTATCTTACAGGGCTCGTAACTAATGTTAGCAGAGTAGCAAACTGCTGGTTAGTGTTTAAGTTTTTCTAGCAAAACATACAAAGCACTTGAAAAAATTGTTAGTACATATTTCAAAGGAAAGATTTGAAGATTCTTTCTGCTAAGTATCAATACATCTGTATTTGAGTCACTTGCTGAGAACAGAAGTTACTATAATTACAATTAACAAGACTATTTCATTTGCTAGTTCTACGCCAGTCTTGCAATCCGCATTTGAAATGTATGATATACCCAGTCTAAGTATCAGGAATACAGGTGGATTGGGGGGGGGGGGGCAAGAAGTACAAAAGTTAGACCTCAGGCATCCAGTATAAAATGTCCTATTACCAGAATAAATCACATAAACTACAGATGTTTCTTCCACATTCCTTTTAAATTCGACCATGACTAACACAAACATTAAGTTTATTGGCTTTTATGCTTCTCCAGCATCTGTACTTAAATAACATTTTTTTTTATTATAGGGTGGCTGTTTGACAGTGTATAATTGCTTTCACTTAAATCTTTGTCCAAATAAATATAAGTATGAAACAATACCCAATGAAGTATCCTACATAAGCCTGCATACTTAAATCGCCAACAAGCTCTCAAAAATCATCCCGCAAGGGAAGATAGAAAAGGGTCACTCATGTGGATAACAGCCCAGAGGTTAGATGGACAACATCAATGAGTGGATCACATTGTCACACTGTTCCAATGCACCAACAGGGCAAGGAACAGGCACCTATGGAAGGTTATGATGTAACAAACCATGGTCTCCGACCCATCAAATCAAAATTACAATCAAACTTGAGTAATAGGTATAAAAGCATATAAATTGCAATCTCCTATAATATAAATAGCTGATACATACCAGAATTTACATACAGAAAGGCTAATGTACTTTAAAACTGTTTGTTGGTTATTTTGGGCAAAAAAACTTGTATAATTCCAATTACATTTGTAAAAGAAAAGAACGTGTAACTGGTTTTCTAACATTCATACATGGAAAACTAAATTATAAAACCCTAGCACTTTCAATAGGTGGACTTATCTTCATACAGAGCAAAGACATTCATTTCCTCCATTTGCCTATTGAAAGAGCTAAAGTTTTATTGGATTTCTTTATAAAATTTTTGATCCTATGTTTTTTACCATCATGAACATTAATTATAAAAGATTTCAGCCTTGTGTAACACATGTTATATGTGAGAACTGTCCCAGTCTTAAACTCACAGACTGCATAAAAATAACAGTAAAAAATGTGATGTTGTTTAACTTTACTACATTATTATTGTAAAGTCAAATTAGCCATTGTTTCTCTCAGATCCTAATTGAAAAAAAATCACTAAAACTGAAAATATAGTGTTGAAAAATGCCAGCATTGCACAATACAACATAAAAGCTCCATAGTCA